CGACTGGTCAAAGATGTTCAAGCTGTTGCTATTTTAACTCTTGTGTCTAACGATCTTCCTATCAACAACAGATTGCAGTTTTACTCGTAATCTTGCTCTCAATTCCAATTATACCATGAATTCGCCTTTGAATGCCTCTGTACACATTTTAGCATTCAAATATAGACTCTTCAACTTTTTTTGTCGTAAAGCTGGGATTTGCCAGTTCACCTAGCATAAACTCCAATCGTTATGGTGAATGAAGCACATTTTTTGACTGCTAATTGTTCATCTTTCATCTCCTCTACGGACTCTTCTTCTTTGGTCCCCGTATCTCTTTTCCTCCTAGGTCCTCTTTATATTCCTCTCTTCATTTCTTACTTTCTTTGTCTTCCTCATACCCCTTATTTCAAATTTTTCCTCTTTCATCTCTCATCCCCTCTTTTCCAAATTCTCTGTCCTTCTACTTGTATCTTTTTGCCCTATCTCTTACTTTCCTAACCTCTCTTCATCTCTTTGTCTGTATCCTATCCTCTCTTTCTCTTTTTCTCTCACTTACTCTCAGTCACTTTGTATTTTTCTCTCTCTCTCTCCGTTCCCTCCATTCTTTCTTGTCCCTAATTTCCGGACCAAACTGATCACATTTTAAGCAAGCTCGATTCCACTTCCGAATAAGCATATTCGACAGATGGTGCTTCTTACCTGCGTCTCAGTCCTTCTCTCAGGACGGCCATTGCTTGATGCGCAAGATACGACTGCCTCTCTCGCATTGGGGTTAACCATCGCGGTGGTAGACGGCCCAGGCGATTAACTTCAATATAGCTCCTACTTCTCTCACCAATTCCAACAAATCCTTTTTTCCTGCCACCAGTGCTACAGCGCATCGATTGCGTTTTCTGTTCAGTTTCCTGCAGCTCGTTTGGGGCAGAGGCCTCATCAGACTCAACTTCCACCATTTCATTAGCTGAGTGGCTGGGAAGGTGAAGAAGAGGATTTTGAGTGAGTGCTGAGTAGAATTCGGAAAAGCTGTATACCTAGGAGTTGCAAAAGAAGTGAACTATAAGCATATAAAATAAAATGAAAGGCTTGACATTAACAAGAGGGCATAGAGAGGGGCAATACAAGAGTGTAGACACAAATGAGTTGGGGGCCATTCCATACCAGGTCAAGAGGCTTGGTTTCACCCTTTTTAAAAGTGGGCTGGATTCCGCCAGAAAATCTATTCTTGATATGTCAGCTTCGAGAAGAGAGAGTAATAACATTACCTAGTCAAATTGTAATCATATGTTGGCCATCTCTCCGACAAATATTTGAATTACGCGAGAATTGCCTTGCCTTAAAATTTAAACATGACCTGAGACCCCATGTCATTATGACGATGTCTTCAAGTGGCGACATGTTTATTGTGAAGCCAAAGTATATTTGGTGTTGAGCTTACTTCAATTTAGAGTAAAAGTGTTGGGTGAAGAGACTCGAAGGTCGGTTACACCAGAAGACGACGAGTTTTCTTGACTCCTTAGCTTGAATTTTGTTGTGACGATGTTACCTCGCTCTGATGATGTTCTTCATGTAACGGACGAAAGCTTAGCCCCTTTTCACAGGAATCGAAGGAGATTACCTCGGGAACAGCGTCAGCATGAATTTTCCAGTAATGCCAACTGACAGCTGGTCAAGAGGAATCCGCCGTCGTCTTCTGATGGAACCGACCTTCGAATCTCTTCACCCAAAACTTTCACTCGAAATGGAAGTAACAACAACAACAATTATGAAACAAGAGATTCCTCGAAACCCAACTTTTCTTCGTATATATTTGGTGTACTTACGATTACTAGTCGAGGTCAAAACTGGGGTTCATCTCTGACATGCAATAGCTTTACTGACAAGTGAGAAGTTGTCTTCTATAACAAAGCAAATCTTAGCCTAAATTAATTTCAAACAGACCAAATATCAAGGCTTGAAAACATAGATAAAATGATGGTACATTTAAAAAGTTAATAGTGACATTAATAATAGGATACTTTATCTAAACTAGGAGGCAAAAATAAGTATATCAGATAAGATATGTACTGACCCAATACTTATATTCAAATTAAATAGGTTTTGAAACCAGTGGAAGATCTTTACTAAGAGCTGAGTGAACCCCACTTCACAAAAAGTGATCTAGTACTTATAGATGAATTTTCCTACAGTAAACCTCCAGATTCCTTTCTCCCAAAATGGTATTCTTATTAAGGGTGAACTGCAGTTTCGACGTCTCCCAGATCCTATCAGTGCCCCAACGGAAATTGAACCTTGGTGCAGATGAGACCTAGCGAGTATGAAACTGCAGTGCATCCCGGATAAAGATACCTTTTGAGAGGAAAGCCTAAGCGAAATTTACAGGAGTCGTGAGGATGGTAAACTTTACCTATCAGTCCTTCATCACCATATGCAAACTACGTTAAGCACAGTCCTTATTAAGGATCTGCTGCTTGCCCTTAAGGCTACGCAAAGGTAGGATGGGTTGTTACTATTAATACTGTTGATACCACTGTCAGTCGTCCTTTGACGCGATGAAGAAAGTTTTGACACTATTTAAGGTGAACTAAGCTCTATCATCCTATTATAGCATAGTAATAGGTTTCCTAAATTTTCATCTGAACAAGAAGTAAAATATTTTTGGGAACGACTACTAGCCTTCCTAACCAAAAAAATATTCTGCTGTCGGTCTTGTTTCTAGCACCAAAACATTCCAGGATGGAGGACCCTATATTTATCTATTTCATTTGTTTACTTTGAGTGGATTCTACTTTCACAAACATTTGAGTGAGTTACATGAGGAGGTATACGCACACAATGTGCTGCGCTGGTGTGCCTTTTGCACTACATAAGGAGTCCAGAAATGTATTCCTTCACTCTTGCGTATCTATTCTTAAGGTAGAGACAGAGTGTACCAATTGCCTTCAATGACTGTCCAATGTAGAAAAATATTTTTTTGTGTAAGGTCTTTACGCATTTGCTCTGATGAGATGGTTCCTGCTGATCATGAAAGTCTATTGTATCTTTTTATGCAATGGCCGTAATATTGTCAACATAAATATTAACGAAAACGTCAACAACAACACACCTTGCCTTATCTACAATTAATAAAGCCAAATTTATCGAACCATTTTGCCTTTGGTACCATATTCAAAGAGTGGTTAATATTTGCCCTGGATACTGACTTGCCTTCTTATCATTGCGCAGGTTTATGCGATTTATTATTTTCCCCAACAGGCGTCTGCCTATAGGCCGATGCAGCAGGCAGATAAGCACGCGAATCAAGGCCTCTCTGTTAAAATGTAGAAAATGTAACAACTTTATTCCCAAAAGGTAGGTCAAGAGAATAAGAATGGATCTTTTATTTCAGGCATTTTTATGAAATCTTTGCTGCTTACGTCCAAGCGAACTCGAGGGGCCTTTTAATCCAAGATCCTCTCAATTTCCCTGCATATAATAATGTTATATCTGATTAAACAAGGTTATGTGATGTGAAACCATGTTTCTTTTTTTCACTAGAATTAGTTTGTGTTTATGGAACCAACACTAAAGGATTAAACTGCAAAGTGTAAATCCGGACTATGTGAAATATATGCTGGATAACAAACTTCAATTTTATACAACTCTGCTATCTCAGCCTCTAGTGCAAAGACAAATAAGATAGTCCTAATCTCTTAGACTACTAATTTACTTGTCTTTAATGCAAACAACTAATAAACATTGGTATTTTATTGCCACTGATGAAGTGCAAATAGTAAGAATATTCCACTAAACGTAAGTATACGTTATTAAAAACTATTCAAAAGCCAGTTTTCCTGTTTGAAATTAATTCGGTCCG